CATTACACTATTCTGAGCAGTGGTGTTATGAATGTCAGGGTATTGTGCATAAATGCCAGAAATCCAGTCCCTTTAAATTCCTACTGTTCACCTGCTCTGGTCCTTTGCAATTTAGTAGGTAGCCCTTGGACCAATAGGGTCACAATCTCCTGGGAGTTTCCAGAAATGCAGATTAGCAGATCCCACTAGAGGCCTATTGAATTAAAAAATCTGTGATTCCTAAACACATTAAAGTTAAGGTAGTTAGACTAGAGTTTTTGCAGCAACCTTGGTCTGTTCTTTTGGAATACAAACTTTGCTTTACTTAAAATATATGCATAAGTTAGGGAAATGTAAGTTAATACTACAACGAGATATCACCTTACACCTGTTACAGTGTCCATTATCAACAAGGCAAGCAATAACTAGTGTTGGAGAGGTTGCAGAGAAAAGGGAACCCTCATTCACTGCTGGTGGAAATGTAGACTGATACAACCACTATGGAAAGCAGTCTTGAGAAACCAAGATGGCGGCATAGGTAAACACCGGAGTTTGCTACCTCGAACAACCACTTCAAAAATACAACTAAAAGACGGAATGGACATCATCCAGAACCACAGGAAGGCTGGCTGAGTGGAAATTCTACAACTAGAAGGAAAGAGAAAAGCTTACCAAGACTCAGAGGAGGCGCAGTACGGAAGTAAAATACTAAGGTGCGGAGATGCATGTGGAGCGGGCTGGCAGCTGAGGGTGCGGTTGTCATTTTCAATCGGAAGGGAGTCTCAGGCTCTGAGCTCCAGTTCCAGGCGAGTCTCTAGGGACCCAGACTCAAACGGGAGAAGCGGGACTGTCTGGCATCGGTCGGAACTCGAGGGCAGCTTTCTCTCTGAGAGGCTTGCAGTGATTACCGGGACACTGAGAAGCAGAGCCTCTGAGGGCAAGACTGAGAGCAGCCATAACTGCTAGCCCCGCCCTGTTGATCCCGTGGGACCCGCCCCGCCCAAGCCCTGCAGGGAGGCTTTTGCTGGATAGCCTCAGGCAAAGGCTAGATTAGCACCTCCCTAGAGATCCAGGAGCCAGGAAACCCAGAGGTCAGAGTGGGACCATCCAGTTTGTAGCTCCGTGGAACAATAAAGGACACACTCAGGGGGCAGACTCAGTGAGCTCCAAAGCCCCAGTGAAGCAAGCCTTGCCCCAGAGGGGTGTCTCCAGCACAGAAGTTCTCCCACTGCAGACACAGTTGATTCTCACAGCCAATTGGCCTGGAGGTCAATTCCTCCCAGTGATAGCTACAACAATCAAGGCTTACCTACAACAAGACTGTGCACAAAGACCACAAGGGGGTGCACCAAGAGTGTCCTCCTCAGGTAATTGGGGAGGCTGAACCACTGGGCCCTAGAGGACACTCAGCACAGAAAACCACTTTATCAACACAGGGAAGCATAAAAATGCAAGACAAAGAAAAAGGACACAAATGACAGAAATGGAGGAAAGCAAACTACTGGATATAGAGTTCAAAACCACACTTTTAAAGTTTTTTAAGAATGTTCTAGAAACTGCTGATAAACTTAATGAGATCTACAAGAAATCTAATGAGACCCTCGAGGTTGTGATAAAGGACCAACTAGAAATTAAGCATACACTGACTGAAATAAAGAATATTATACAGACTCCCAACAGCAGACTAGAGGATTGCAAGAATCAAGTCAAAGATTTGAAATACAAGGAAGCAAAAAACACCCAACCGGAAAAGCAAAATGAAAAAAGAATCCAAAAATACGAAGATAGTGTAAGGAGCCTCTGGGGCAGCTTCAAGCATACCAACATCCGAATTATAGGGGTGCCAGAAGATGAGAGAGCGCAAGATATTGAAAACCTATTTGAAGAAATAATGACAGAAAACTTCCCCTACCTGGTGAAAGAAATAGACTTACAAGTCCAGGAAGCCCAGAGAACCCCAAACAAAAGGAATCCAAAGAGGACCACACCAAGACACATCATAATTAAAATGCCAAGAGCAAAAGACAAAGAGAGAATCTTAAAAGCAGCAAGAGAAAAACAGTCAGTTACCTACAAGGGAGTACCCATATGACTGTCAGCTGATTTCTCAACAGAAACTTTGCAGGCCTGAAGGGAGTGGCAAGAAATATTCAAAGTGATGAATGCCAAGAACCTACAACCAAGATTACTTTATCCAGCAAAGCTATCATTCAGAATTGAAGGTCAGATAAAGAGCTTCACAGATAAGAAAAAGCTAAAGGAGTTCATCACCACTAAACCAGTATTATATGAAATGCTGAAAGGTATCCTTTAAGAAGAGGAGGAAGAAGAAAAAGGTAAAGATACAAATTATGAACAACAAATACACATCTATCAACAAGTGAATCTGAAAATCAAGTGAATAATCTGATGAACAGAGTGAACTGGTGCTTATAATAGAATCAGGGACATAGAAAGGGAATGGACTGGCTATTCTTGCGGGGGAAAGGGGTGAGGGGGATGCGAGAAGAGACTGGACAAAAATCGTGCACCTATGGATGAGGACAGTGGATGGGGAGTGAGGGCGGAGGGCGGGGTGGGAACTGGGTGGAGGGGAGTTATGGGGGGAAAAAGAGGAACAAATGTAATAATCTGAACAATAAAGATTTAAAAAAAAAAAAAGAAAGATGCTCCTTGGAGCACTGCTGTGGAGGTAGGCAGTTGAAGGCACCACAAACAGGGAGAATGGATCAGTCAACTGTGATGGGTGCCCCGTGTGGAAGGAACATCACGCCACAGCCAGAATCGGTGCGCTAGAATTGCAAACTCCACTTACATATGTGAAAACACCTCCCACACAGAACAGCACTGTACATTTCAGGAGGTCATGCTCATGTCTGTGATAGTTATCAACCACAACAGCACATGTGTCTGGGACAGGCACATAACACAGTAGCTAAGCCTGGGAAAGTCTCTTAACCTCTCTGATTAATCAGTTTCTTCATCTGAAAAACAGGAGATAATAGTAGTAACTGCTCTATGGGGTTGTTGTAAGGATTAGTTGAGTTAATATAAAGTACTTAATGCCTGGCAGTAAGTCTCACTAAAGTGTTGTTATTATCCTATATAATAAAAGCCTAATATGCTAAAAAAAAAAAAAAAAAAAAATAAAAGAAAAAAAGAAAGCAGCCTGGTGATTCCTCAAAAAATTAAGAATAGAGCAAGCACATGACCCAACAACCCCACTCCTGGGTATATAACAAAAAACACACCTCAAAATCATTTATTTGCAAAGATATATGCACCCCTATGTTCGTTGCAGCATTATTCACGGTGGCCAAGACGTGGAAGCAGCCAAAGTGCCCTGTAATAGAGGACTGGATAAAGAAGATGTGGTACATATACACAGAGGAATACTACTCCTCCATAAGAAAGGATGAAATAGCATCATTTATGACAACATGGATGGACATTGTGCTAAGTGAAATAAGTCAGACAGAAAAAGCTAAGAACCATACGATTTCACTCATATGTGGGATATGAAACTGAAACTTATGAGCACAAACAGCAGTGTGGTGGTTGTCAGGGCAGGGACAGGGGGAGAGAGAAGAAGAAGGGGTTCTAATATGAGGTGACAGAAGACTTGACTTTGGGTGGTGGACACATGGTGCTATAAACAGATTTTTGTAACTTAGAAATCCACACATGAATCCTATATGTTCATGTTGACCAATGTCACCCCAACAAAATTTAATTAAAAATATATATGCATAAACACATTTGAAATAAAGTTTTTGTTATTTTGACAATATTATTCTAGTTTGTGTATTATTCCATACGCCTTTTTCTAGTTGCCTTTGGTGATATCATTCAATTAGTTAAATCAGCTATTTCTAGTTTTTCTAAAAATCTTTTATGTTTCCTTGAAGGCAAGAAATATGTTTTACTTTGTGGGCACACAGATTCCTGTATGCGAATGCTCAGTAAGTTGAAAGCGGAGTGAATTCTGAATAAGTGACTGAATAAATGAATACATGAAAGAGGAGGAATATAGATGGTATATTCCTTGAAGACGGGGATAATGTCTAAGTCATCCTTGAATTGCCAATGCTTCCCAGAAAACTTATCAATAAACACGTCCTGGCCCTAGCTGGTTTGGCTCAGTGGATAGAGTGTCGGCCTGCGGACTGAAGGGTCCCAGGTTCGATTCCGGTCAAGGGCATGTACCTGGGGTTGCGGGCAGATGTGCCCGCAAGAGGCAGCTGAATCGATGTTTCTCTCTCATGGAAATTCTAACTCTCTATCCCTCTCCCTCTCCCTTCCTCTCTGTAAAAAATCAATAAAATATACATAAAAAACATAAACACGTCCTGGTTAAGTTGTTGGATGAGAAGACCTTGTTTGTTTATTCCTGGCATAAAACCACAGAGAATAGAAGCAGGAGAAATGCAGATAAGAGGGAGAGCTAAGTATAGTGCTAGACAGCTTTACAATTGTTACTTCAGCTCATCACAGCATCTATGAACTGGGCATGTATTATTTTATTTTATTTTTTAAATATATTTTATTGATTTTTTACAGAGAGAAAGGGAGAGGGGTAGAGAGTTAGAAACATTGACGAGAGAGAAACGTCAATTTAGCTTGTATTATTTTAGAGAGGAAGAAACTGAGTTCTGAAATTTAAGCACCTCGCCCAAGTTCACATCGCTAGGGTCAGAGTCTGATTATTCTTGCAAGTAATTTGCATGTCTGTGTGTGCACGGCCCGTTTCTGCAGAGATGGGAAGGTGAGAGAGGAAGGATCCTTTATAATAAAACACAAGAATAAGCAACTCTCCGAGTTCCCCTTGTGCCTCGGAGGCGCTGTGGCTCTGGAGGAAAGAGCTCTTCTCGCCTTTCAACCACCGACTAAGCAGGAACAAAGCAATAAAGATCTACCCTCTGGTGCCGTTTCTGCACTCGGAACGCAGGTGCTGGGGCCGTCAGGCGCGGGGGGGCACCAGAGAGGAACGGACGAACGCCGAGCGGTTGCCTGGTAACGCCCGCTGAGGCGTCCCAGCGTAATAAGGTCCGGGAGAAGTGTCACTAGCCTTGAGCGGGACCCCATAGCCCGTTGTCTCCGCGCCGGCGGCCTGTCCCCGCCGCCTGGCGGGCTAGGGCAGGGGAAATGTGGCAGGAGGAGTCGGATCTGTCTCTCAGTATCGCTCAGATAGTCCAAAAACTCAAGGGCTCCAGTTTGTACGCTCAGCTGGAACGTCAGGCCTGGGTAAGTGAGGCGGGCGGGAAGGGATGGGGCCGGGGCTGCGGCGATGCCTCCCGGTCTGTGGGAGCCCCTCGGACCCCGGCTGCAGCCGCCTCTGGTCTCTGCACCTCCGCTCCTGTGCGCGGAAAACCCTCTCTTCCAGGTCCCCACGCTCAGCCTCGCGCGTGGGGTAATAGGTTTTTGAAGGAGGGTGGGGCGCATCATGCCTTCCTTAGGACATAGAATCGCTAAAGCTATTTATTCATCGTATCGTCGTCCTTTACAGGGTCTAATATTTTAAACTGCTGGAAATCACCTTAGGTCTTTGGACCACACCTTCCCTCACTTTTTCTGTTCTAAATGTGGGGGTTTTTTTTTGCCTTAGCATCACTCACCTCCTTGCCTCTACCCTCCCTGCACTCATCCTCCCTCTACCCATCCACCTCGCATTTATTGAGCATTTTCCCAATGTGCTGGGTTCTTTGATGCAGAGATTGATTAAGGGATCTTTGTGTATGTGTGAATGCCATGTAAATGGAGTTATACAGTATGTCAATTTTTGTGCCTGGTTTCTGTCATTTAGAATCATGCTTTTTAAAAATATATATATTTTATTGATTTTTTTACAGAGAGGAGGGGAGAGGGATAGAGAGTTAGAAACATCAATGAGAGAGAAACATCGATCAGCTGCCTCCTGCACACTCCTCACTGGGGATGTGCCCACAACCAAGGTACATGCCCTTGACCAGAATCGAACCTGGTACCCTTGAGTCTGCAGGCTGATGCTCTATCCACTGAGCCAACCCGGTTAGGACTAGAATCATGCTTTTGTGACTCACTTATGTTGTTGGTATTTCAGTAGTTCAATTTCTTTTGGGAAAAAAAAATTGTTTTTAATTTTCAATGACAGTTGACATACAGTATTATTTACATATATAAAAGCCTAATATGCAAAGTGTCCCCTCAGGAGTTGGACCCACTGGGAGTTTGATCGCTTGTGATGAGGTGCGCTGACCACCAGGGGGCGGCGCAGAACGAAGGAAGGCCTGGCTGGCAGCCTCTAGGTACCCTACCTGTGCCCAAATTTTGTGCACTGGGCCTCTACTATTAGTATAAGGTGTACAGCATACTGATTAGATATCTGTATACCCCAATAGGTCTGGTTCCCATATATGTTCTGTTCCTTTGTATTGCTGAGTAATATTTCATTGTTTGGATAGGCTATGATTTGTTTATCCGTTCATTGATTGCTGGGCATCCTCAGTTATGAACTTATGGGTTGTTTCTGGTTATAGAGATTATAAATAAATCTGATACAAACATTCTGGTATAGGGTTTTGTTTGAATATTTTCCTTTTCTCTGGGATAAATACCTAGGAGTAGAATTGCTAAGTTGTATGATAAGTATATGTTTAATTCTATAAGAATCTGCCAGACTTTTCCAAAGTGGCTGTAGCATTTTGCATTTCCACCAGCAATTATGAGAGTTTCAGTTGCTCTGCATCCTTGCTAATATTGATGTCAGTTTTTTTTATTAATTAATTTTTATTTATTAATTACAATGTTCTGGTAGGAAAGTAATGATATCCCATTGAGACTTTAATTGCCTTTCCTAATACCAATGATATCAAGCATGTTATCATGCTTACATCTTCTTTGGTGAAGTAATCTGTTCAAATCCTTTGCCCATTAAAAAAATAGTTTGTTCTCTCATTGTTGAATTGTAAGGATTCTTTATATAAAGGACACAAGTCCTTTATCGGATACTCCTCTTGCAAATATTTTCTCCCAGTCTGTGGCTTATCTTTTCATTTTCTTAACTGGGTGTTTCAAATAGCAAAGCATTTTAATTTTGATGACATACGTTTTTATCAATTTCTTTTATGATTTGTGCTTTTTGTGCCTTACCTAAGAATCTTTTCCTGTTTTGTTGTAGCAGTTTATAGTTTTAGCTCTAAATTTAGATCATTTCCAGTTCATTTTTGTGTATGTTACTATGTAAAGCTTTTTTTTTTCACGTAGATGCCCAATACCACACCTATTTCTATTGCTTATTTGCCGATTTCCTTGACACCTTTGTTGAAAATTCCTTTAGTACACACACGCATACAGAGGACTCTGTCTGGCTCTCTATTCTGTTCCATTGCCCTGTTTGTTTACCAGTATGCTAATGCTACATTTTTTATTTTTGTAACTTTATAGTAAGTCTTGAAATCAGGTAATTAGTCCTCCAACTTTGTTCTTTTTAAAAACTGTTTTGTTTATTCTATGTCATTTGCTTTGCCATATAAAATTTATAATTATTTTATAAATTACTACAAAAAATCTTCCTGGATTTTGGATTGGGGTTTTGTTGAATGTATAGATCAGTTTGGGGAGAAATGACCTCTTAACAATATTGAATTTTCTGGCCCATGAATACACTTTATCTCTTCATTTATTTATAGCTTTATTTTCTATTGTTGGTGTTTTTACAGTTCAATATACAAATCTTGCACATATTTTAAGATTTTCCCCTAACTATTTTTATGCCATTATAAATGCTGATTTTTTTCTCATTTCAATTTTCAATTGTTTCTTGTTAGTATGTAGAAATACAATAGATATGTGTCTATTTGCCATGTATCCTGCAGCCTTACTAAACTTATTTATTATAGTTCCTCTTTTGTATATTGCTATGATTTTTCAAGTACATATTTCATATGTGAACAAAGACAATTTTCCTTTTCAATATATATGTTTTTATTTTTTATTTTTCTTGCCTTATTATACTGGCTACTGCTTCCAGTACAATGCTGTATAGATACTTTTTTATTAGGTTGAAGAAACTCTTTCTTATTCCTGTTTTTCTGAGAGTTTTATTATGAATGGATGTTGAATTTTGTTAAGTACCTTCCTTGTACATGTAGAGATTCTCAATGTGATTTTTATTTTTAATATGTTAATATGGTGAACAACACTGATTGTTTTTTGCATTCCAGAGATGAATTTCACTTGGTTACAATACATTATTATTATTTTTATATATATCTTGATTTAATTTCCTAATATTTTGTTGAAGATGTGAATATTTCCATAATAATATTGGTTTGTAGTTTTATTTTAACATCTTCGTCAAGTTTTGCTATTAGTTAATGCTGAACTCAGAAATCGACTTGGGCAGTGTTCCCTTCTCTCCTATTTTCTGGAAGAATTCGTGTAGAATTAATATTATTTCTTCCTTAAATGACTGGTTGAGTTCCGGGTAAAGTCATTAGGGCCTGGAGTTTTCTTTGTGGGAACATTTTTAATAAAAAATCTAATTTTTAAAATATATGCAGGGCTATTTGGGCTGTTTCTCTGGTTGAATGTGTACTTGAAAGGCATGAATGTTCTGCTCTTACTTTTCTATAAATGTCAATGAGGTCACATAGACCATTTTGTTCAAGTGTTCTGTATCTTACTAGGAAGAGGCCTCAGTCAACACCGTCAGACGTTTTATTATCACTGCCATTAGCTTCAGTTGTACCACAGGCTTCAGATTTGGTGGGCTGCTATACACTTTGTCCTTAGAAAGGATTCTGGGGGCATTGGAGGGGTTTTCTGTGTTTCTATGACCCTGTCCCTGCTCGCCTGTGCACAGAGGGAAGCCTCTCTCCATGCTCTTATCCCTTCCTCGGCAGTAGTCTGCCATCTGTTACCCTCCTGAGCTCATGGTAGGTACAGGTGTTCTCGTTCTCCTGGCCCTGGCCCATGTGTGTCGGGTAGGACTTCCTCAGTGTGCCTTCCTCTTCTCCCTGTGCAGCCGAATTCTGCCTTGTATCCGTGGCAGATCATGGGTAACAGAGAGATCCCTGCCCCTCCCTAGTGCTGGCTGACCTCTGCTTCAGCCTGGTGTGGGATCCTGGGCCCAAAGGCTCCCTTACCTTTCCGTGAGGAAGATGGTTTTTGCATCTGCCTTACTCCCAGAAGCAGTGAATTATCGCCTTGTCTTCAGCGTGGTTTTGGTTTCTGAATTCTCCCCTAGAGGTTTAAGGCATTTTCCTCACATGAGAGGAGAGTTTGGGCAAGGTAGCATGGTCTCATGCTTGTTCTGCAGTGGCAGCCTGTCCCTTCGTGCACACCTGTGCCACCGAAGGGGGCTCTCTGCAGCTCCATGCTCTGCCCTCCGTCTTTCGTGTGGACACCTGGTGTAGACCCATGGGAAAGAGCATGCAAGGGAGTGTGACTCCCCCTTGAGTTCTGAGCTCCCAGTTATTCTAAACTGACATGCTAGCCCACCTCTAATCTGTCATGGCTGAATTCTTAGCCAAATTCTTCTTTCTCGCTTCTGTAGGGTAGCCTTCTTTTCCTCCTGTTCTCTGTCAAACATTTAGGGTCCCGTCTGTCCTTGGCGGGGCTTGTTACTCTTTGGAATTTAGTTCACTGGATAGTCTTATATCTTCAATTTTCTGGTGGGTTCAAAAATTATGATTTTGTAGATTATACCACTTTTTCTCATTTGGTAGGATGGGAGCGACACATCTTGTACTGGCTTTCTACATGCTATGCATTATCAAAACTCTATTAGCAAGTGTTTAAAGATTGCATCTATGCCCACGAGAAAGATTGGTCTGTAATTTTCCTTTTTAGTAATGTCTTTGACAAGTGTTATATCAAGGTTATGCTGGCCTGATAAAATGAATAGGAAAGTGTTCCCTCTTTTTTTACTTTCTATTTGCTGAAAGGTTGTTATGAGGTTGTTGTGGTGTGTGTTTTTTTCCCCCTTAAATGCTTGGAGGAATTCTCCAATGAAGCCTGTGTCTCAGGCTTCATTTTCTTTGGGGAGGTTTATTTTTCTATTAGTAGACTTTATTATTTAGAATAGTTTTAGGTTTACAGAAAAAATTGATCAGAAGGTATAGAGTTCCCACACATCCCCTTTCCCCTTGAGCAGTTTCCCCTGTTATTAACATCTTGCGTAATGTGGTACATTTGTTGCAATTAGTGAACCAATCTTGATACATTATTGTTAAAGTCCTTAGTTTACATCAGGGTTCACTTTT